GAGCTCCATGCTTTCAATTTTGATTTGTTTCATACTTACCTCCGTAATTATTGCATGCAACCGTCCATGCGCTATAAGGTATGCCGTCCTGGAATTAGGCTCTAATTCTAATTCAAAGTCTAATTCAAAGTGAGCATTCAAGCCGCGCCTGGGTTCATCAGACAACGACAGTCTGTTTTCAGACATTGACATTTGGCAGTTTCTGTAAATAGGGGACCCCAATATAGACTCCTATAGTCCTAAGCCTTATTATGGGGATGCCCACAAAAAGGCACCCCTAAAGTTGGAAACTCCATTTCATCTAGTCCTCACCCGCCAAGCCTGTTTCCACGCAAATTTCCAGTCAACATGCTTTCTTCGCATTGCTCATAGTGATGTTTCCAAGGCGCGGATTCGCAGGGTAGACTATGGGTTCCCCCCGCTTCGCAGAGCAGACAAGGGGTTCTCACTAGTAGCCCCTAAACCCAGTTTTCACTTCATCTTCCACTTTCTTTTCCATTTGATCCTCCACTACTCGTCGAATTGAAGATCTAGGCTCCTGGAGCGTCATGTTATCAGCCTTGTATAATGCCAGTTTCCACCCCATCTTCCATTTCTTTTTCCTTTCTGATCCCCCGTTTTCTACGGAGTATACAGGCCCCTAAACCCTCAACCCTAGGCAGCAAGTAGTTTCCATGTTTTCCATTATTGTAAGTAGTCAGTCCCTACATTACACCCATGACCCAGTAGTTCCCTGTTGTTTCTTCTCCATTCTTTCCAGTAGTCAGGACAACCCGTTTTTCATGGTATATAGCCCTTTTATGTCCTATATGTATATATCTTTACATACATCTATATATATACATATACTCCATATATGTACATATATATATGATATATATATATATGTCTCCCTTACATGGTCCTTACATCCCCCCGCAGGCTCAGCTTTCAGGCTCTGGCCGAGCCCGGGGATGGTTTGGCCCTTGGCCTAGGGTTTAGGGGGTTTGGGGGTTTAGGGGTTTAAGGTTTAGGGTTTTAGGGGTTTAGGGTTCAGGGTTCATGTTTTAGGGATTAGGGTTCAGGGTTTAGGGGTTTTGGGTTTAGCGGTTTAGGGTTCAGGTTTCAGGGTTTAGTCAGGGTTTACGGTCTACTTAATTAAAGTTGGTGAAGGGCCCCGCAAAAAAAGCCCAAAGGGTTAATGGGGATGAGGTGTAGGGTTTAAGGCTTGGAGGGTTTAAGGGATGAGGGTGAAGGGTAGTTTAGGGATTAGGGAGTAGGGTATTTGGTTGGGATAGGCTTCTAGTGTTTAGGCCTCTAGGGCCTAGAGTGGGATAGTTTCGGGTGAAAGCTAGGGGGCCACCCCAAACAGCAGATGTATCGCATATGGACCGCAGGGCATATCATACTCTATATATAACCCCTATATAACCCCAATATACTATAGTAGTTTCCATTTTCTTTTTCATTATCCATATATACTGAGGCTACAGGGTGCTTGGCAAGTGTTGATATTGTATGTAAAGGCACTCTGAGACTGTTCTCGGCCCAGGCGCAGAAAACGATCTGTGAACCTTTACAACATTTGCCCGAGCAAGCATGCGACCTGATACGGACCATGAACTCTAAACCCTAAGAGCTAAACGCTAAACTCTAGACCTAGATGCAGTTAGCCTCAATCCAGGCTCGGACAAAGCATCAGACAAGGACGAGGACGCGACCTGAGAATTGCAGTGGTAAGGGGAAATCGCAGCCTACAGTACGAGCGAGAGGCATCATGAGGGCCTCCCACAAACCGCAGGACAAGATGTTAGGATCCGAATTATATTGGCAACAAGGGACCTGATTTCTTGCAATTTTTCTTCAGGCAACAGGTGGGAGAACGATGACACAACCAGTTTCCTTTTCGAGCGCTTGACGTTAAACCGCATTGTGAAAGAAAGCCAAAACAAAAAAACAAGGGAGTTTCTCAAAATGATCCGTATTCGCAATGCTCACAAGGGACCCAGTGGGATGCTCCATATGTCTCCCAAGGTTAGCCTTGTTTTGAGAATCACTCAGTACATATATGAGTTTCAAACACAGGATGAACTACGTACCCAAGCATCAGAGGAAGCGAGCAGCCTGGTTCTTGCAGGACCTGCGTGCCAATCTTTATGCAGACTCGCTGGAGGTCTTTCAGACGCAGATTCACATTTCATGCTAAGCTACTGCAGCTACCAGCGTTGCTGTGAATAGCAATGATATGAGCAGGAGTACATCCCCTCTCCTTCTGGCGAGCATTATACATCTTCCGCATATTACTATAGCAATTTACTGCTATCCTCGTAGTGTCTACACTTGCATTACAGCGGTGTATTCAATATGATGTATGATGATTACTAGCATGACAGCCTTTGTCTACTACTATCATCGCTGCCACGAACGCGCAGGCCCAGGCTGTACAAGCTTCAAAGGCCAGGCTTTTCAATGGGTGTCTGAAGATCAACCCCTGGCTCAGAATAGAACAGCCCCAATACGTAGAGGGTTTGCATGTCTTCATTTTCACTGGGTGGACTTGGAGGGTCTTTTGCCAGTGGGAGGGTATCACTCTTGGAATCTTCTGCAATCCTTTCATTCGAGATTCCTGTTATTTGGAAGCCTTGGATGCCGGATGAACTTGAGTAGTCCAGGGGTGAGTAATCATATTACAGCCACAAAATGTAGATTACTGAGTTGATGTTAAGGAACTTAACTTAAGTTGCCGTAATGGGTATATATATATATAGAGTAATTGATACGGTTTCCGCCATATAATAACTTAAGTTAAGTATCTTCTCAGCAACCCAGATTAAGGATCTTGAGGAGATAATACTCCTAACCATTCAGGCCCTGGCATGGTCTCAGGAGTCCCGCTTGAGAAATGCCTACAGGAGCTACTCGAAGCTAATCTTAGGATGAGCCAGGAATATCAGGAGCAGACACAGCGAGTCAGTAAAGCCCCGAAGCATGCGAAGCATGCCATTTTCTTTTAACGACCATATGACTGTCATGGGCTTCTTGTTTTAGGGGTGTGCGTTACTCCTACGTCTTATTCCCCAAATCTTAAGGCTCATCCGTCAGCCTAAATACCTAACATAACCACCTAAAGGCTAAACCCCGCCCTCCACCGCCAAAGCCTCTAAACCCCCAAGCCGTGATCCCTTCATCCCAACTGTCTCAACCTCGGTGTGCCTTCGGCAGGTGTCGCCTCCGGCCCCTCGTGGATTCCTAGGCTCCAAACTAGGCGAAAGAGGGTCTTGCAGGGTTTAGGGCTTAGGGATCAAGGTTTAGGGCATAGGATTTAGGGTCAAGGGCTTAGGCAGAGGCTGAGGCCTCTGCATCCAGCAGGTGGGCCTCGGGTGAGAAAGAGTTCCTGAGATTCTTGCAAAAGCCTTAAGGCCCAATGAATTTACACAAACTAAAGATAAACATAGCCCCATATGAACAGACGAGCTTATGGTGCATATACTTGTATACACAGAGTAGGCTTTTTGAGCGTAGCACCCTGCGGCCTACTTCGCCAGGCAGAATTGCTTCGATCCGCAAGTCCTCCGCGCCATACCGTGGGACTTGAGATGCCTTTAGTTAGGTGGGAGTTTCTCCAAACCCCAAAATCGAGATAATGGAAAAGAAAATGGAAACTATAGGGATTATATAGGGTTTTATAGGGATTATAGGGTACATATTGGGGTTATATTGGGATAATGGAAAAGAAAATGGAAACTACTATAGTATATTGGGGTAATACAGGGATAATGGAAAAGAAAATGGAAACTACAACTTTCAAACCCTTAGTTCTGAAACCCAGGTCAGCTTGAAAAGGGAGCCACCCTATTAGAGCCCCCCCTGACAAGTGTCGTCATGTTATGCACGGTAGCTTTGAAACTATATAGTAGTACTTTCTTGTACTCCCACGTTTGAGAGTGAAGGGTGTCCAATTGGAGAAACTCCCAGGTCTTTTTTTCCTTTTCCCTCAGCCGGTCATCAGGCCCGCGTTGTGGGTCAGGACATAGTAGGATCAGATGAGCTATAGTCTTAAGTCCTTAAACCGGGGGCTATGTCGGAGATTATATAGGGCTGCATTATAGGCGTAAACCGGGTGTTTTTTGCATGAGGACTTTTCGGGTAGCAGGACAAGATGATGTCCAAGAATTGGAACACCCCTTGCCTGCCCGAAATTAATATTGGTGAATTCTAGGACCCCCCGCAAAAAAGGCATTGAAAGTCTGGAAAATTGAAAACCCTGATAAAAGCCTATACGCCCTTGTATAATTCTACAGCCCGTTCAGAGCGACAACCTTTGCAGTTTCACCAAGCGAGGCCATTAAGTGGCACAGATTTCGCTGCGAAGTGCATTTGCCCCAAAACCGCCTCCATGCTGCTCAATTACTGATACTTCCCGTTATGATGCTGCTACGGTATAGCCCCAACTATGTTACATGTTTTCGGGCCCTACAGTAGATGGGGTTGTGCCGGAGATGGCTCCTACTCTGGGTTCTGCAAGCTCACGCGACTCAAGTGCTTGTGGGTTTTACCTGGACCTCTCTGTGGGCACATACCGACTTTCTGATGGTGCCGGCATGATCGCTGAAATGCTCGAAGCTTCCACATTGCCACAGGACGCCATGAGCCCAGGAATTCCCATAGTCTTTCTGATACTCCCCTTTTCTTTTCCATTATCCCTATATAACCTGTAGATAGCCCCTACATGGTCCTTATCTTTACCAAATGGCCCCTGGTTTTCGAGGCCATGACGGAACCGCACCTCGATTGCTGGTCTCCCTCCACAACGTAAGCCCACACACGCAAGCCCACACATACCACAAGCATGCAGCATGAAGGCACTACCGTATGTCCCAAACCCTATAGATATCTCCCCTACTCCACGTTGGGCTCCCTTTCCGAATCACTGTGAAGCTATACCCCCCAGACAATTCTGAAAAGGCCCTTAAAAGGTTCCATGCTCGCAGTTGTAGCCATGGACCACTAGGTGCAGGACAATGGCTCACGAGGCACTTGCGCATTTGGATGAGTCATGCGGCTGATGTCTTGGCTGCCTGAACTCCAGACTTTAGACTTTGAATGGAAGCTTCTCCAGATGATTCCTTTAGGGTCCCTGGCAGGGTACTGGAAGCCCTGGCCCTGGCGGCTAAATCCAACTGTTTATTTACTGTACTTTTTTTTTTGAGAAGCCCCCCACGTCCCGACATTTGCCAGGAAGAGCAAGCCTTTGAAATCGAGGCTTCGACAAAAAGAGCTGGGCATCTGCCACGGTTCGGGTCTTCGTAAAAACCTTTCACAAAAATGGGATGTTTCAGGCTTTAGCATATTCATATAGTACATTACTAGGGTATATTACTGTAGTATATAGCATGTGGAAGTTTGGGGTAAAGGCTTGGGCCAATGGGGATGCTTTGCAGCGGGGCCAGAATTTGGGCGGATGCACATTTGAGCAAAACAGAGTTGTGACTTGAGCTCTTGCCTTGCGCGAGGCGTTACAGTCGATTTTTGAGGGTGATGAGTTTAAGAGCATTTCGGAGAAGGAGCCAGGGCCTCAGACTGTCAGACAGGCTTACAGTGGTAATTCATTCTAAACGACTAAGGTCCCCGAAATCTTGAACATGGTGCCGCAACGTGTATTGGCATATCTTATGCACAAAGTGCATTTTCATGCACATGCGCATACGCATAGGCTACTTTAGGGAATAGTTGATACTCGCGGGAGAGGCGCGCAATAGGCCTGTGAACGGATTCATCGCAATTGTCCTATCATGGCGTGAAGAATCATACATACCTGTGTGGATTCCAGTGAGTCGTTTTGCTACTCATGAGGGTTATCATAGTAATAATTAATAACAGTAATCATAATAACATCAGTAGAGTTAATAGGAATACTTGTAATCATAATGACAAGTGCAATAACAGTCTGCTTCCGAAGGTTTGCGATAAAGCTGCTGCCCTTCCCGGGTGGTGAGGAGGCGACCGACCTTGGAGCTATGTCAGCCTGAAAAAGTTGAAGTTTCTGAATCTGAGTAGTTTCCACTTTGTTGTCCATGATCCCAATCTATCCCCAAAATACTATAGTAGTTTCCAGTTTCTTTTCCATTATCCCGAAATTTTCCCAATATACTATAGTAGTTTCCATTTTATTTTCCACTTCCCCAATAATGTACCCCTATATCATTACCCCCCCTATACTATTTGGTAGTTTCCATTGGGTATCCCACGGTACTTGCTGAGCCAAGAGGATTGTGGAGATTCCCCCTATCGACTATGGATGGGTTTAGTTTGAGAAGCGCACGCTTGCGAATCTTGCTTTCTTGATTTCCGTGTGGATGGTAGAAGTATAGGAGAAGATACCCCAGCAAAACATGATGCTGATGTTTAGGGCGCTGTGCTAGCTGCCTGGATGAGCGATTGCCAGGAGAATCATGTGGGCGTCTCATTGCACGTGACGTACACAGATGCTTATCCTGATGAGCCGCCAGAATGGGAATTGGAGGACGAGCGGGGAGCAGGCGTAGTTATTTGGGGCTTCCAGAGTGACAGACGATGAATCGTCATCATAACCCTCAACGCTCAACCCCGCCAAACCTATCTCTAAATCGAAGCCCTCAAGCCTGAACCCCCAGGCGTGAACTGAAAATCCCCAAATCCGAATCCCCAAACAGGACGTCCAGGGCCTAAACGATGAAAAGCTTGAGCTGCTCAAAGACCGGATCAAGGCTGTGCAGGGTTCAGGGTTAATGGCTTTGGGCCTAAGCTGTAGGACTTAGGACCAGGGGTTATGGTTTGGCTTTGAGGTGTAGGCTTGGGAATTTGGGCAGGGGATTGGGCCTAGGGTTGATTGTTCAAGGGACAAGGATCTAGCGTTTAGGGAGTATGAGGGCTTATCTTTGAGGATTCGAGTCCAGGCATTGGGGTCTAGGGGCCTAGGACTTCTCAACCTTCTCGCAAGGCGTGCAGGGATCATGCAGGGGGTATGTAGGGATCAGATCTGCGTCTGCAACATGCGGCAGCTAGGACATCGAAATACACTTGCAGACACGCACACACATGCTTTCGGACGGTACTGTTACGCGCATATATGTCCGTATGTCAAGAGGCACGTGGTTTGTGGCCAAGCCTTCCCAATACCTCCATCATGTATCTGCCCAATTCCTCGTATCACCACTACCTACAAACTAGTGATGACTGCTTATCCCATGAAGAGTGCCAAGGTGGTGCATGCTGTGCTATGTTACCCGGAAGAGGCAAAAGAGTTCCCAACACACTTTCTGAAGGTTTGCAAGAGTTGTGATACCGGAGAACTGTCATGACATGTGCAACCCCAACCTGAAGCCCAAAGCATGAGATCCTATATCCTAAGGCTGAGAGGATGCGTGCTGTGGCACGCCCTAAACTCGGCGTGTGTGACTGAAAGTTGAAACAAGGACTAACAGAAACAAAGCGTTTCCCTGTGATTCTACGAGGCAGTTGTCTTCAACCTAGCCCAGGTCCAGGTAGCCAACGGAGCCGCAAACCACAACTTGAAGACCGCAAAAAAAGCCCAAGCCTCTTGATATCCCTGAGCCCTAAACTAGGCCGTAGCCCTTAAACTCTACGGTTCTAAAGCTGTTTAAGTCCCAAGCTCTCTTGCAGGAGACCATTGAGGCATCTCTAGGCATGGCCATGATCTATCCCGTGTCCGAAGCTTGCCAGGACAGCAAAGGATGCTGGGAGTGTCGGGTTGAAGGCTTCGGGCGTGGTGTTTCAGGGTTCAGTGATTTCGTAGAAGTATATTATTGCATATTAAAGTATGTTAGGGGTTATATAGGGTCTATTTAGGTTTAATGGAAAAGAAAATGGAAACCACTATTTGGGGTTTAGGGTTTAGGGTTCGGTGATTTGGGCTTCGGCTTTAGGCTCCTGTGGTTTCGATTTGGGCTGGGAGCCCTTTGTGAGTTCAACTAGGCGGGAACGAATTGGGATTGTGAAGGGATTATGTTGGGCAATAAAAAATGGGCGTGGCGCATCATTCCTGGTGCTGCAAGGAAGAGGCGTAGTGTTGCAAGATTTTCTTCCTGAAGATACTGGAGAAAACTCTTCACTCACGGGGCTACTAGGGCTTTCATCTAGATGGGCCGTGAGAAATTGAAGCCTTGTTGGGGTGTATTTTATCGGTTTGTGTGGTGCACCTTGTGGGCGCAAACAAGACTTTTTGTTTTCAAAGAGGCCATCATCCTTCGAAGGCCCCCGAACTCTCAACCTCAAGCCCCAGACCCCGAACCCAGAACCTAAACCCAAAGACCTTAACCGCGCGTTCCAAGCTATAAGCACGAGGACTTCCTCAAGGAGAACAACCAGAAGGAGTTGTCGATGCACGAGCAGATGATGCTGCGACATGCTGCCCCGGAGGCTTGCGGCTTTCATGAAGCGTTGGGGGGTTTAAGATTTAGGGTGTTGGCGTGTAGAGATTTCGGGATAAGGGGAATTAGGTTTTAGGGATTAGGGTTTGTGATGTAGGGTCAGCTTTGACATGGTCATGCGGTGCCTTGCAAATTTGACCTTGCCTTCATGTAGGGGTCGGCTGGAAGAATGCGGATACTTTACATCACACACACATACCTTCCTGCAGGGATCCCTAAAGGGTAGATCCGTTTCTAACATTCCAAATTCGCATCCTCCAGGACGAGGAGGAAGAGGAGGAGGCTGCCTGCAGTGTTTTTGCCATCTTGCCACATGGGTTCCGTGCAGCAGAGATGCATTTCAAGGGGTGGTGGGGCCTGTTTTGGGATGAGGGTTAAGGGACATCAGACTAAGCTTGGCAATTGCCTAGGGTCTTTCGTTTCTTCCTCCGCTAGCACTTTTTTCTTGAGTTCCTCTTGTCAGTAAATTAAGCTAACTTTCACTGATGGATACCTTGAAGATCCGGGCTCAAGGGGATCCTTGTCTTGAGGATGGACTTACGATTTTTTGCGGCGAGGCTTGTTTAAGCATGTCTCCAGTCAGAAGTCAGAAGTGCGGACACCTGCATTAAATCCTTAAACCTCAAGCCCTAATCCTGAAACGCTGTGCCTCTAAACCCGACATTTCGAGGACGGCGAGGACGAAGAGGAGGAGGAACCTGAATGGAAGGGCAGATGCCTCAGAAGCGAAAGCGTCTATGCTCGCAATGTTATCATGTTGGGCCAGGTCAGGCAATCTAACTCCTCAGACTACACGCTAATTTAATTCTGGGGCTTGTCCCTGATGTATCATCTATGCAAGCCCTTAAAGAGGCATGAACGTGTGAGAAATCTTCTCGGGTCTTGTACACACACGCCCCAAACAAAGTAGCTCCTACAAAACGGGACCCTTGGTTTCATTATGGGAAAGCATATCGAGCACCAGCAGGACTCACAGAGAAGACTCTTTGCCCCGAGAGCGAGCGGATTACCGCGGAAAGTTTTGCGGCTTGGAAGGCGAGGACTCAGGAGCTTCAAGATGCTTCTGGGTTTGGGGGGTTAAGTGGTTTGGGCTTTTCGGCCTCTCTGTGACCCTGTGATTGGTGCTGTAGACAGTCCTGAGTGCAATGCACTTGCGCCTATTCAATGTTAACCTGTTAGGAAACCATATGGGGGTGTAGAATAACGCGGCTTCTCTCTACGTTATGTCATGAATGTCCCTAGATAGCGTTTGACCTGTAAAACGATAAGCAGTCAAAAAACAATAAGGTTTCAGGAACTGGAAAACACTGTAAAACAATGAGTAGTGGAAAAAAGAGACAGGTGAAACTTATAAAGCTTTAATACGGGGCTTTTATACAACCCCATATGGACCCCTCCAGGACTCAGACACAAAACCCCTGCACCTCTGAACCAAGAGCTAGCCAGGCAAAGTTTGACGCAGAGATGATCGAAACCGGTGTCCTCAAGCGCGACGAAGTTAAGTCAAGGCGCCGCTTCAAGTTTCAACACGTGCGTGTTGAGATTTAATGTCCAAAGTAATAAGGGTCTGGTGCTTGGGGACTTTCCTCCAAGCTGGTATTTTCTGGCTTAGGTTAAAAGGTTTTGGGGTTGATTTTAAAGCATATCCTTTGAAGCCTTCACCATCCGTAGTTGGCACCCTTAGCGTTAGACACACACGCAATATGAAGCCCTGCATACTCTCGAGAATGCAGTCAACTCAAAACTCTGCGCCGCAAACCCGTATACCCTTCATCTCGACTTGCAGCCCCAAAGCTCTAAATCCTCCTGAAATGTCCCAACTCCAACTCGCTTGATGGCCTACCCCCGTCCCTAAACTCTTCCCCAGGAGTGGCAAGCTGATCTTCATGCAAGGCCAGGAAGGTGCGGAAAGCGGGGCACCCAGAACTGGGCTGCGCCAAGTAGGGTGATTTTTTTTTGCTGAAGATACATGCAGGGGCTTTGGATGTGGAATCATCTCGTTGCAGAGCAGAGCATCTCGTGCAAGTGGGATGTCCCGATATGAGCTATAGTCTAAAATTCCTGGATTAGACACAAATAGGTTCTTTTTTGTAGCATATAGGGATCCTGATGGTATTCTGCCGGCTTATAGGACGATATCTGGGGGATTATATAGGGGACTACTATCGGGGTTGAGGCGGGATACTGGGACTCTACCGGCTTATAGCGCCATACCGGGCTATAGACAGAATAGTAGTTTCCATTTTCTTTTCCAGTATCCCTATATAACCTAGATTTTACGTTATACCCAAAACCCCCTAGGGCAGATGAAAGAGAACCCGAAAGCCTAAACCCTAAACCCCTAAACCATACGCCCCCGCACGTACCGCCGAGCTTGCAGGCAAGAAGGAAGAGAACGGCTATCCGGCCGGCGGCAAGTCGCAGTCTTATGGCTTAGGGTTTAGGGGGTTAAGGGGATAGGATTTAGGGTTTTGGGGTTTAGGGTTTAGGGTTTGGGGGTTTAGGGTTTGAGGTGGGGATTCTGGAGGGCAAGTCGCAATCTAAGAAGTCACGTGGTGGTTTCTCTAGCTAATCACCGATGTATCCCTCGGGGGGATCCTAGAACCCCAGTGTAATCCCCATGAATGGCCAGGATCCGTATAGCCATTTTGGGACGCCTGGAGTTGGTGTTTTGTTCGCAGTTATGGGTCTGTTTATTGAAGTAAGCAAAGGTAAGAACCTGTCAAAATATTCAACTCCAACACACTAAACACTGAGTTCAGACATGTAGGTGTCTGGGTGGTCAGCATGTTACCCTAAACCCCTACACCCTAGACCCTAAATCCCTAAACCCTCAGCCCTAAATCTTAGTTTCCATTGTATTTTCCATTATCCCATTATATCCCTTATATCTTTCTTCCAAGGTCCGACGTTCTGGTGTATGATGCTGCTTTGTTTGGAGAGGTGGGGCTTCCTGCATCAGTTGGAAGCACCCTCCCAAAGTTGAAAGCATTGGGATTCATGCTTTGCAATCGCTTCATTTGGGGGGTTCCACTAATTAGAAATCCAAAGTTTGTGTCGTGCCCTTAGACTGAGGACCACCCTTTCAGATTTCAAGAACTGTGGAGTTTAGGGGGACCCCTGTGTTTGGAAGTCTCCTCCTGCATCTTTTGCAGAAGCAGGATTTTCTTCGAAGTGGGGCTGATGACAACATGGGAGTTCTAGATGTGCCAATGCAGCATCCTTGATGGAACCCCCCACAATCCATCTATCATCCCAACATGTATGTATGTATGTATGTATGTATGTATGTATGTATGTGTGTATGTGTGTGTGTGTATGTATATACACTCTAATATATATATATATATACATATATACTATTTGTTTATTAGGTGGACCCCCCTCCCCCCCCAGTATAGTGAGCACGAGCGATGATAGCGATTATATTACAAGGGTCTTCGTATATTCCTATTACACCACTGTTACAGGATGGGGGGTCCACCTAAAGTGTATGTATATGTATATATACATATATAGGACTCCTTGAGTCCTCATTTTTGTGAAAACCCTCATGCATGCTGGCGCTCATGCCGACATGCTTTTTCCAGAGCCTCGCCCTCCACAAAGCTGCAACGACAGGGACCCCCCATAATTCAGCAGGTCCCAATTGTCAACATGTAAGCAGGGCTTTCTGCGCTGAACGTCCTGGGTTGGAATCCGGGCTGTGCAGATGTAATATGCAACAGAACCCTGAGCAGATACAGGGGGTTTAATCCCGCCTACACGATTCCGAAGAGGGTCCCGTGCAATCGCATATATCCATCCTTTTTTTGGAGGATGATGCCGACCTGGATGACATTGAGGACGACTGACACTGAACTCTCGCCTGGTCATTTGCGTTTTGAGCTGGTCTCCTGTTAGTGGTGTACTGTATACGCTGTACACCTTCTATGTCTCCGTGTTGCTTACTCATGCTTAGTTGAAAAGTGGAGAATGGATCCCCATAACCCCATAACAGTCCCCATGGCCCCATGGCCAATCAATTCCACCAACTGAGCATGAGTAAAGCTAGGGCACAAAGTGCTTTACCAGTATGTGCAGCGCAGCACAGGCGGCAGCAGTAGCTTCACGGGCTTGCGTCGTGTGAAAGAATTTTCAGGTGTTTAATAAAATCTCACCATGCAAGCCTTCTAGTGACACTTGGCCCCCATACACCCCTGAGGATTCTCAAGGTACTCCCTTTTAGAGACGCCCCTAGGGGCATTATTTGGGAAACCGTAGCTGATCACGTCGCTGCCAGAGGGTGCTAATCAGGGGGTTGGGATTTCCCAATGGGCCTCAGTCCAAGATAAAGATGCCTTCGTCAGTATGATATAGTATTTGATTTTCCATTATCCCTATTTAACCCATATATATATGTACACCCTATAACCCCCATATAACCCAAATATGACCCTTATACAATACTTGTGTGTTGCGTGTGGTCCTCGAGTTGCATGTTGCCTATACCCGACACTGGCTCAACTTGGGACCAGGGCCCCAAAGCAGGCCATGGGCCCGGATCTGGATGTTTTCCATTAGTATCTTGGGCAATTAAGCCAAGACTGGACTTCCATAGACGCAGGGCACTTCTGGGAATGGAATCCTCCGAATGGGGTCAGATGGCAGCTGGCAGCATGCTGCTGACCACTTCATCAGCCTCTCGCAAAGTCGCTTCCAGGCAAAAGATGATCCCTCAAGCCCTTACTTCCTTCCTGTAATCTTTGAAATCTTAAACCCTTAAAAGCCTAAACTGACTAAACTGACTTAAACCCTTAAAACCCTCAAACCCCAAGAGGCCACGGCCATCCACAGTAGCATGGCCATTTCACAGTGCGCGCGGCAAAGTGCAGCGCCTGCAGCGTGGCGTCATGCGCTTGGCTTCTTCGACTTCGTCGGGGCGAACGCGGTGGATGAGTTCAGCTACAACGCGGCCATCACGGCTTGCCGTCGTGGAAGCACCTGGAGGAGCGTCTTTGGTCTGGTGTTGGCAATGGAAACCCGGCTCTTGGAGCCAGATGCTTTTACTTGGACTGCTGTCGTGAGTGCTTGTGAAAGCCAATGGGAAGCGGCTATGGGCTGCAAATGCTCTACGGACTCTACGCTGCCAGGCCACAATGCCATCCTGAGCGCTTGTGCAAAATCCAGTGAATGGCTGCAAGCACTGAGTCATCTCAATCGACTAGGCCATTTGCCCGTCAGCACAGACATAATCAGCTGGAACGTGATGATTCTGGGCTCCTTTTCAGGACGGAAATCAAGTGCCCATAGCATGAATATGGGTGTATCGTAAAACAGATACTTCGGTTTCACCAAGCTGCGAACCCATAGCCCCAAAATCCCAACACCCAAAACCCCGCAACCTTGCCAGCAATCCAGGATTTCATCTGTTAATCACCATGCTTGGACGACGGCTGTGCGGTGCCTCGCGATGTGTCGTGAGAGAAGGATTCAGCCCGAGTCCGGCACTTCTAGTGCAACTTATTTATGCCTAAGAGGCTTAAAAAAAGGGCTTGTATAGGGGTTAAATAGGGGATCTATAAGGGTTCTATAGGGGTTATATAGGGGATATATAGGTTTAGTGTTCGAGGTTCCTGACTTGGGCTTCAAGGTTGCGCGGCTTGTAAGGCTATCAGGGTTTAGTGTTTGGGGCTGTCGTCTAACGGTCCCTCGCTGGCGGCAGTAAGGTGATGGCTGCCGCGTGCAAAGGCGCCGAGGCCTGGCGCTTGGCCTTGGAACTCACAGGAGACTGGCCTGCTTTCCTGGGCCGTATTGTGAAGAATCGAAGAATTGTTGGTTAAGGTTGATCTTCTTCAACACGTCATTTCAGTAAACCCCAATAGCAAAAAGCTGGTAAATCAAGAAACCCTAAGCCCTTGAACAGGAGAGCATGGAGAGCGACAGGAGGACATCTCTACGGTGACTGCGCGGGTGGAAGCCTGTAGCTTGGTAGCGAAGCAGGGTTCATGGTCTAGGATTACGGTTCAGTGTTCAAGGCTTTTAGGTTTTGGGATTTCGGGGTTTAGGGTTTCACGTTTGGGGTCTGGGGCTATCATGAATCTCAAAATTTTGTCAGGCTTTACTCCCGCAAGCCCTGTTGAGCACCAGTAGCTTGTTGTAAGGTAGACATGGCCGCCTATGGCAGCAGGCCGTCTCGTCCTTGACCAGGTGGGAGTTTCTCAAAAGCCAAAATCGTTTCTTGGGGGAATTGTGTGGAGGGAGAGGGGGCCGAGTCACATGAGACACATTTTTTGGAGGGTTCTGAGAGTGGCGCAATTTCAGCCTTTGGGGCCTTGGATCCTCTTAGGATCCCTGGGTCTCTTGAGGAGGCCTGAATTCAGTCGTTTTGAAGCCCTAAATCCGAGTAGCCCTAAATCAAGAACCTGAAGCCCTACAGGAGCAGAACGAAGGACGTGGCCCTCTACACAGCAGCTCTGGGTGTGTGCACTACAGCCGGCCAGGTGTTAGATTCTGTTAGATGAAAGTTTTTGAAAATCCTTTCTTTGGGATTTGGGGTTTGTGTTTTATGGGGTTCAGGGGTTCAGGTCAGGGTTCAGCAGGTGAATTTTAATTATGACAGTCATGTGACAGCTGCTGTGTCCTGCTGTCGAAGTTGTGGGTTGGGCTACAAATTGCGCTAACCTCAAACTCCAAATCCTAGACCTTAATTCCTGAACCCCGAATCATAGAATTGGTTGGTGGTTCTATGTCTTGAAGCTCTGAAGCTGAAAATGCCGAAATCAAAGGACCAACACCTAGTTCACCGAATAATCATCATGTTAGACAAGTTGTCATCTCGCAGTCTTAATCCCTAAGCCCTCAACACAAAACTTGCATCCTGAAAACTGAAAGATTTAGATTCTCAAAGGTGGCAGCGGCCTGGGATCTACTGTTGGATGAGCAGCGCCAGGGTCTGAAGAGGAGTCTGGGTGGCTGGGGTTCAGGGCTTAGGGTTCAGGGCTCAGGGCTTAGGACTGTCAGGTTTGTGCAGCATGTACACGCAAAGAAACCTTGTGTTTGGTGGGCCTCGATCGTCTTTCGCTCAGCCTTCCCCTAACCTTAAATCTCACCCCTCACCCCTGCAACCCCTTTAGGCCTAACCATGCCTTGAAGCCCTATACAACCCCTATAATCTCTGTAGTTTCCCTTTTTCTTTTCCATTACCCCTATGTAACCCTACCATATACGTTAAATCCCAGAGGAGTGCCATCGACTTCGCCTGGGCCCTGGCAAGGCTCCAGGCTCCGGGCGCCCCGCGCGAGCCGAGCTGCGTGCAGCAGGCAAAGGGGAAAGAATTTGGCGTGCTTATAGGGTTATATAGGGGTAATGTAGGGATAATATAGGGGTAGTTTAGGGGTAATATAGGGTTATATAGGGGCAATATAGGGATAGTATAGGGGCAATTTAGGGTTATATAGGGGCAATATAGGGGTAACATAGGGACAATGAAAAGTAACATGGAAACTACTAGATGACGTCCTGGCTTGCAGTTTTGGGTTGAGGGCTTGGGAAAAGGGTGTTCAAGGTTAGTAGGGGCTGGGATATAGTTTAAAAGAGGATTAGAGGGGTCTCTGAGATAGTGTTTTGTAATCAGTGTTGCTGATCGTACGTGGGGTTCCTTAGGTGAACCTCGCCTGTATGGTATAGAGATATTCCCACTGTGAGCAGTGCCAAGGCGCTCTCCGAAGCAAGGGTGGAGCTGTCAAAGAAGGAGGAGGTGGCAGCGTTTCAGAAAGCACGTCATTTAGAATTCCAAGTCCAGTAGAACTTTTCGAGACCAAGAATCCTAAGCCAAAAATCAAACCATTAGATTCTAATAGATCCTAAGCCCGAAGCTCCAAACCCTGGTCCTGAAACACACTCTCTGCATTGTGGAGACCTATTTTGCGAACCCCTGGTGAAGGTGACTCCACAGAGTCTAGTGCGCCTTTGGTGGGCTTCAGCCTTGCTGTTGGCCTGGAGTCCGTTGTTTGAGCAGGACATGGTGTCTCCCCTAGATTTGGGGCCAAAGTTCTTTGGGTTTGGCATTATTATTGCTTAGCGCCTAGGGTTTAGGGATCAGGATTTTAGGACTTGGGGCTGGAAAGGCTTCAGAATTTCAGAGAATATTTGCTTAGGATTTATGGTGTACACTTTGGCTTTGGGGATGCTGTAGACCTCCAGCCATCCTAAAACGTAAGCCCTTAAACCCTATATAACCCTATACAACCCTATATGATATAGTAGTTTCCATTTTCTTTTCCATTATCCCAATATTAGCACCTGTCCTCAATGGAAGGATTTGGTGTCCAGATCTCTGCAGTGCATCGGAGACTTTGCAGACGAGGAGCTGATGCTAGCCGGCTGGGCGGCTGCCGCAAAGACTTCAGTGGGAAACTGGCTTGCAGTTATATGAATATCCCGGCCCGATAGGCCAAGAATATTTTTTGTGTTCTGGCTCCAGAACCGAGAGTTCTACTGTAACTCGCTGATTTGAGCCATAGACTAAGCCCTGAACACCCCAAGAAACCTCAGCCCCAAACTATAATCCCTAGACATTGATAATTCCTCCGCGGTGAGCCCAGGTACAGGGGGCAGCCTGCTTCAAAAGCTGCTGCTGAAGATCCAGGCGGAATTCTCTCAGCGCTTGGCCTCCAGAAGTTTCTTGATGCTGCCAGCTGAGCCTAGTTGGCACTTCAGGGGCTGTGGGAGTATGAGGTTTTGGGTTCGGGGAGGAGGGTTTGGGGGTGGAGCAGTGAATAGAGGTCCAGACACTGTTAAACGGGTGTAGAGACATATGCACACATACATGACGAATTATATGCTGATGAATACAACCCGTTATAGTAGTTTCCATTTCCTTTTCATTATCCCTACATAATTCCAATAAGGGGGCCAGACTATAACGATGGGGAATCCACTCCCCAAAGCTCCCCTCAGCAAGGAGCTCCTCCGTGTGATCCTTGGCGTGGTCTGGTCCTGCAGTTTCAGTCGGACCCTTCGCGCAAGGTTTTACGACTTTGTCTCCGAGGTGCTGAGGCGACACGGTCGTGGTCTTGACGCCAAGCAATCAGCAACCTGGAGTCTGCTCAGGAGTTTTTTTCTATTTTTTCACAGCTCAACCCCTTCGAAGGAAGTTCCTCAGAAGATAGCTTGCATGGATGGATCCAAGGGGACGACCATGACGACCATCTCCAAACGGGACAGGGGTGGCAAGGAGAATAGCAGTCCCAGGCCGAAGATTGTACTGGACTTGTCGGATCAGCTGGTGGTTCTTAAGCCCGCTGGGTGGGAGGTTCACGATGACAGTCCAGGTGCCAAAGCTCTCCAGCTGCGGCAGTGCTTGAAGGACTCACTTGGAATGCTTCCGATATTGGACGATCCTGGCTCACAGTTCAGTCGCATTTTACATGAATGTCTCAACCGCCTAAGGAAAAAGCACGGTGCTTTTGCATGATGGTCCCAACAACTCATGAAGGGTCATAAATCCTCAGATTTGGGTCTTGCAGTACTCTATTTAGTTTATTCTATGGGCATGAGATGGCATTATTCCTGGCTATCCAGGCTTTATCCCTAGATCCTACATATCCCTTTGAACCCGGGCAGAGTCACTGTTGAAGGAACCCATTACCCAGGATCCAGGATGTAGTCATGGCTTCCTGCACCGCCTGGACGTGCCCAGTTCTGGCCTGATCGTGATGGCCAAGTCCTTCCAAGCCTACTTTGACTTGCAGGTGCTTGAGGGGAGGGGCGGATGTAGGCACCTGGGTGGATTGTCTAGTATTGTTGGATGGCAGGATCTAGGGAGCTTTGAGGGTCTAGGGAGTCCTGCAATACACGAGATGGTAGTTGCCTATGTTTACACCCCCACTCCCCTTCAAACACCGGTAAGTGGATGCCCCAAACACGAAACGTTGAGCAAGCATTCCCCTCCAAACTTTAAAAAGCCTTAAACCCCAAGCTGCAGGTGCAGCTGGCCTCTGGGATTTTACCCCGCAACTACGTGGCAGTCAGCCACGGCTGTCTCAAGGCGAGACGCATCGAGGCGCACCGTGTCCCTGCTGTTCAGTCTTCAACGAATGATCGATGGCGTGTAGGGGTCGCGGTGTAGGGTTGGAGGAGTGAACTGGAGCTCATGTTCGTTATTGCCTAGCTATAGGGATTCATTCCCCTAAATAAACATTCTGATGACAACCACCCTCGCTTGTGTATATATGTGAACTTGTACATTTTATTTGTAGATCGAGCATGTGCTGATTGCAATAGAATATGTGCAGCCCGAAGCCTTACACCCCAAATTCTACGCTCTGAAGTATGGGCTTCTTGGCCTGGTGCTACCCAGGATTAGGGGATGGGCTGCGAATCCCCTGGTTACAGCATCCCCAAGTCCCTGGTCCTAACACTAAACCCTTAACCCCTAAACTCTTAAACCTTAAGCCCTAAACCCTTAAACCCCTAAACTCTTAAACCTTAAGCCCTAAGCCCTTAAACCCCTAAACTGTCCTAAACTGTCATAACTGTCCTAAGCCCCTAGACCCTAACACGACGAGCAAAGTCGAAGCAGGCGCCCGTGTCTTGGATCGAGAGGGCCCCAGGGGGCTCAGGGCCAACTTCGAGCGGTGGCCCAGGGAAACCGGCGCGCACAGACCTGGAACTGCTGGCCCAGGCCATGGGTTTAGGGTGTAATTAGGGGGTTTAGGGTTTAGGGTTCAGCATCTCAAGTTCAAGCATTCATTCCGAGAGCAGCTGTTCTAAGTATTAGAGAAATACCCACCCGCCCACTGGGTCCCCCAACATTCAGAAAATATTATACTCTTAGTTGTATATAACTTTAACGCAGCCAAATCACCATTATCGTTATA